TGTAACAGCTAAAAGTGATATTTTTTAATGCAAAATAATTGGGGCACCTGGGTGGCCCAGTCAGTTAAACATCTGACTCTTGATTTCAGCTAAGGTCATGATCTTAGGGTTCGTGAGTTTGAGCCCCACATCAGGCTCTGTGCTGACACTGTGGAGCCTGCTTGGGATTCTCTTTCCCCCTCTCTCTGTCCTGCCCCTTCTTGCACTTTCTCTCTCTCTCTCAAGATAAGTAAACTTTATAAAATAAATAAAAAATAAAATTCACAATATTTTACAGTTGCCCAGAGAATCCAGGTGGTGAGGTGCTTGTAGGCATATAATAGCTAAATAGGCAACTTATTAAAACATATCAAAGGCTGTAAAAATAGGAGAAACATGAATATTTCTTCAATTTTGGGCTATTGTAAGCAAAAATTTGTTGTACAAAATATCAACTTTTGTCTCCAATTTTAGGGGAAATATTAGTCAATATACTGTTAATTTTTACTATGTGTATAAACAATGATTATAACTTTTCCATATATTTGTGGTTACATGTGTTATTCTATGAAATGCTTTCTCATGTTGATTTCACAATTGCCAGTGTTATCATCTGATGGAAAAAACTATCAGGAACAGTTTTTAAACTAATGGTTTCTTTCCCATTAGCTTTGGGAACGAGAACCAGTAAAAGGGCTATGGATGGATATCTCCAAAATGATCTCTCACTCAACAACTATTTTTTTTTAAATATTTTATTTATTTTTGAGAGAGAGATAGAGACAGCATGAGCAGGGAAGGATCAGAGAGAGAGGGAAGCACAGAATCTAAAACAGGCTCCAGGCTCTGAGCTGTCAGCACAGAGCCCGATGCGGGGCTCGAACCCATGAACCGTGAGACCATGACCCAAGCTGAAGTCGGACGCTCAACCGACTGAGCCACCCAGGCACCCCTCACTCAACAACTATTAATGAGCATCTACAATATAACAGGTATGGTGTCAGGTGCTAGCACAAAACTATTAAAAAAAAAAAAATAGACAAGTAAAAAAAAAACAAACCTGCCTTTATAGAGCAACTAATATTCTAATGCATTTTAAACCACTGAAAAAATTATAGACTCTGTAATCAGATATGTTAAAATAATCAAAATAAGAAACGTACCTTCCTATGGTCCCACCACTTGCTCTTTTTAAAATAATCACATATAATTAAGCACCTTCCCTGTCCCTTTCTAATTCAATATTTTTATCTTTACGATAATAATAATATATTAATTAATTCTAGAGATACTATATGAAAGTAAAATATTTTCAGTTCACCAAAGTAATCATTGATACACATCCTATAGTATTCACTTATATTATGTCTAAAATTCTATGTTAAAATACTGCATTTGACTAGGGATACATTTAATAGTATTTATAACAAAGAAAATCTACCCTATAAGTCTTGGAGATTGAATGTAATGTTGAACTGTTTCCTACTATTCATCAAAGCTCATGTGTAATAAATTATATTTATTTAATATCTTTTAAATTACAATTATATTTTCTTTCTTTCCTTCTTCCATTTTTTTTCCCCTCTTCTTCCTCCTCCTTTTCCTCCTTTTACTTGCCTCTATGTAATCTGCTATGTCAGATTCTGTATATATTTATGCTTATGTTTGTATGTGTGTAAATATCTATCTTCTGATATATTATACATATGAAATCTGCATAATATATCATATGTATAATGAATCATCTGATATTTGGAGAAATTTTTTAAGTAGTTATTTTTATAATAAGACTTTTTAATAAAATACATAGACTTCTCTTTTATACTAACTCATTATAAGAAAAGAAAAATCTTCCATCATCTGGCTCCTTTGTACCTTCCTTGGCTCCACCACTTAATTTTAGTAAAATTTTCCTCCTTGTGTTTATCTCTGTATGAAATCTGCATACTTTGTCACTGAGTTTGTCATTTTAAAAAAAGTCTTTTGACTACAGGCTATTGTGGATAAGGCAATAAAGATTACTTTAATATTCAAATTATTTTCCCTTTTGATTTTTTCATTTATTCATTTGACATTATCAGGATATCTAATATTTATATTCTATCCTATTATTCTTATTCCTGACGTGGATTTTATCAGTCCACTTTTTAGTTGAATATATTAAATTCTCACTACAAGTCCTTTGCCAGGATTTTTCCAATCATTCCTTAGCTTACTATAGCTTTTCTTGAAGGACTCAAATGAAAAATATATGCTGCTATTTTACATTCAGTACTGTTTTGTCTATATCCTTTATACTTGGAAGACAACTTTGCTGGATAGAAGATCCTGTATCATATTTATTCCTTTGAGTCTCTTTGTAAGTGTTGATCTTCTGGGAATGAATATTGCAGCCAAAGTGAATATCTGGACCTTCATTTTTAACCTGCCTATCTGATTTCTTTTCCTTTATAAGTGACTTAATCTTTTTCACCTAGAAGCCAAATGGAGTCTTTCTTTATAAATCCAATAACCTTATGAAGATATATTTCAGTGCATTTATGCTCTATTGCTTTGATTTTTTTCCTTCACAGATTGAACTTCACATATTTGTATATTTGGTTCCTGTCTTCTCTTTACAACCTATTCACTAATTATTTGTATTTGGTTTCTTTTTGTTAATTTTTCTAATTTCACTTCTCTATGTATCCTACTGTTCTGTTTCCTTTCTTCCTATTTATCCTCCCCTTCACTTGTCATTTCTTTCCTCAGTTCTTAATGCTTTTCATGAAAGTTGTAATTAAATATTTAATATTTTTATATTAAATTTGGAATGTTGAGTTCAAATTTTATCTGCTTTAATATTTCAGTTTCCTCTCATGTGTTATTTTTCTATTGGGAAGTTTTGCTCTTCCCTCTCCTGGAACATGTTTTCTTACAGTAATGTTATACAGATGCTTTGTTTAGTCTCTTTTTGTTGTTGTTGTTTGTTTTGGGGGGTTTTTGGCATATTTTTCTTTGAGTAGCATTTTCAGAGAAAAAAATAACAAGTGATAACAATGACCACATATAATTCTTAAGTACTGGTTCTTAACATCTTTTGTCTAATTTCTCTGTAGATACCTATCTTTTTATTTATTGATATTAATTGATTATTGATATTAAGAACCTTTTTATATATTTACTAGAAACTACTTTGTCATATGCATAGAGATATTTAAATAAGCATAGAAGTCCATTTAGTATTATTTTATATATCTTTATAAATTCTCATTCACTTTCTATTATAATCTTTTATCATTAATGGTTCTACTGTAATAACATAAATCTCTTTACACATTGCAACAGTATGGAGTTTAGCATAGCAAGTTAAGTGCTTACAAATCTATTGAAAGAACTGAGAAGTAAAAGGTGAGGACATTCCACCAAAAGATCTCAGGGTTGTTGCTAATTGGAGGGGAATTATGAAGTTATTTCCAATCCATCTTAAAAGTACCAGAAATCACTGGTCATGGTTACTGCAGGGCTGATTGCAAGCAACACCAAGGAGAATGATTCTAAAGGGACAATGGCCAGTAGACACTAAGAAATCTCATATTCACCATATCCATGCATTTGTTTTCTGCTGCAAAAGGAAGAAGGGAGCTGTGTTTCACTTCTGCCTTCGAGATCTAACAAGAGTCACACATATTATTATAATCTAAACCAAAGACCTGCCACAAAACATTCTGAGAAATTTGTTTTCCAGGCAGAGGCTTCCAAGCTATAGGAGAGAGTACAGAAGGTGCTGAGAATGTTACTGAGTACCAATGATTAATGTGGTACAATTCTTCTCTTTGGTTCTTCAATGCCAATACATAGTCTTCTATACAATCATATCTCCCAAACAATGGCAACAAGATCATGTGATTTCCTAACATATTATGACAAGTAACAATGTGTTCACTTTTTTTCCTGAAATTCTCATCATATGCTATATTATATACAGCGCTAGATGGTGTTTATTACTTTTCTAGTTTAATCACAAATCCCTTCAATACTTTGTAAACTGAAGACTTAATAATAAAAGTCACCTTTATTAACTTTAGGTAAAGTTGTGTGGAAAAAAGGAAGATTTTAAAAAGGCAATTGATAAGATGCCGAACAATGAAGATGATAAGATTGTTTAGTCCTCATATAACAACTGGTATTTAGTTGCTATTTAAAACATCCTTCTTTCACTTTCCATGCTATGTTAGATTTGTACTTAGCGCCTCAAAAGTTTGTGATACTGTTTAGTAAGGTCACTCAAACTTTTATTCAATAAGTATCATGCCTGTATTTGAGTGCTGTGGTCATGAGAATCCACTGAAGGACAAATATATTTCTTTCTGCCCCAATCGAGTAGCAAAAATTCTATTGCACCTTCAGTAATTAGTATTATAATTACAAACAGTTGGCCTTTACCTTTTCATTCTGTTACATTAGAAACTCATGGGGCCCCTGGGTGGCTCAGTCGGTTAAGCCCGACTTCGGCTCAGGTCATGATCTCATGGTTCCTGGGTTCCAGTCCTGCGTCGGGCTCTGTGTTGACAGCCAGCTCAGAGCCTGAAGCCTGTTTCAGATTCTGTGTTCTCTCTCTCTCGGAAACAAATTTAAAAATAAAAAAAGAAAAGAAAAGAAAAGAAAAGAAACTCACAAGGGTCGGTGCCCGGGTGGCTCAGTCAGTTTAAACCTCCAACTTCAGCTCAAGTCATGATCTCACAGTTCGTGAGTTCGAGCCCCTCATTGAGCTTTGTGCTGACAGCTCAGAGCCTGGATCCCGCTTAGAATTCTGTGGCTGTCTCGCGTTCTACCCCTCCCCCACTCGCACTTTGTCTTTCAAAAATAATCAAGATTAAAAAAAAAAGAAACTCATAAGAGTAAGATTATTTTTTTTTAATTTCTAGTCCATTGAAACCATCACTGTGCCCTTTTAAAAGTATTTCTCCTTTGGGAAAACTGACCTCTAAACCATTAAAGCAGTAAATTATAGGGAGGGGAGAAAAAATTTTTGAGGGGCTTCTTAGGGGTTATCATGAAAGGGGTCATTCTCATTTTCAACCATTGAGTCTCCAATCTGTCTTCTAAGAAAAAAAACACATTTATAGTCATCAGACTATAAACAAAGTTTTTAGAACATTTCTCCAACTCCACCAAGTGCTCTTATGCAGAAAATACCATAATCAAGTCTTCCATGTTACTCCACTATATTACAGGTCCAACTGCTTTTGGGTGATGAACACTGTAAGGTGAGTGATTCCCTTGGGTATGAGTCTATTGCTTCACTCTTTTGTTGTAAAGAGAATGCTTTGGTCAGAAGCAACATTGTGTGGGATATAATGATAGCAAATAATGCATTTTGTAAATCAATGGATCAGAATGAGGGCAGTAAAATTAGAGACACAGAATGAAAATGTTTATCTAGAATAAGTGACAATACTAATGGGGGGGGAATTGGTACCCACTCTGTGATTCAAAGGGTTAAAAATTCATTAAACAGCCACCAGAGCTTATTGTCACTCCTTCCTCCAGGAACATATAGTATATGGAGGGTTCCTAGTTGATTTTCACTTTAAGCATTTGGTCATAGAGCAGCAGAGGTAGCCAGATTTACCTCTGTGAGAGACTTATGTATTTGAGTCTAAGCCAATTCTATACCAGCATGCATCATCAGTTTGTTAATGAGTCTACTGAGTAAATACTAGGTGACAGATAAGGAGGCTGATTGACATCCACACAATGAGATATCTTATCTTACCTACTTATTGTAAGTCTCTTATACTTCAGTATGACTTTGGAAACATTTACATAAGTAACAAATATACTTTTTTTAACCAATTCTTAGAAATCCATCATTAATCTTCTTAACCAAATCATATCCTAATTTTTTAATTGTACTGCTTCTAAGGTTGTTGCCATTGGATAAATTATTAGTCAGTGTACCTGATTGTTAATGTCAATGAACTGATATTTGTCTGCACCTCCAGCCAATTCTCTTCCCATGCAAAGTGAACAACCAGATGCCTTGCTCAAAAATCTGCCCCTGAAAGGATGTTCCTACACAATAAACCTTCAGGTGTGTGATAATTAAGTTAATAAGTCAACTTGCCCGTGGGATACTTAAATATTTGTCAAACATTATGCTTGATATTTCTGTGAGGATGGTTCTAGATGAGATTAAAATTTCAATCAATAGACGAGGGGCAGATTGCCCTTCCTAATGTGAGTGGGTCTTATCTAATCTAGTAAAAGCCCAGATAGAACAAAAAGGATGACATTCCCATGGATAAGTAGAATGTTCCTTGCCTGACTGTGTGCACAGGAACATCATTATATTCCCACCTTCAGACTGCAACTGAAATCTTATCTCTTTTTGGGTCTCAAGTTTACCAGCTTTCAACTCGGAACTATATCATCAGCTCTTCTGGATCTCAAGTTTGCCAACTACAGACTCCTCAGTCTTCATAATCACATGATATAATTCCTTCTAATAAATTGATAAATCTTACATGTGTGTTTATTTATACTTATATAATTTTTTCTCCCAGTCAATTGATTGTATGGTATTCCCTAACAGGCTATAGATAAGAATTAAAATAGAGGTGACAATTCAGCAAAATTAGATCCCGTGAGAGTCTGAGCTACATCATCATGTAACTTATTCATGATATCAGAATCTGTAAAAGCCTGACTCCAGGGATTTATTAATCTGATAATAGCAAATCATAATGCATCGCTGAGATCCCAAGATTATAGGTAAGATGTCCCTTTCAGGCTCTACTGAGGATCCAGTAACAAAGTTGAAGCTCTTTAAAAAAGAGAGCTGTTATTTAATTTTAAAAAGTCATGTTTTTCTCCCAATCCTTAGAAGTTTGTCTGTTTTTCTCCTTGCACGAATTATTAGAGGGTTTATACAGTTATATGTACCATTGAAGTTACTAGGTTATAGGACGAGGTGAGGGGGAGCAGATAGCTTTCAGCCTTATTTTGCCTGCACCCCAGTCAAAACTAGCAACCTGAGAGAATATGTTGCAGCAGCATATTTTTTTTCCTAAAAACTAGAAAGATGTTAGTATAATGTAAACTTATTCCACTGCTACAGGGTATTTTATGAAGGGATTCAGTGTACTTTGTAAAGCCTGGGTCTGTGACCAAAGGTCTTCACTCTCCAATATGATAAAGGCCTTCCCTCTGTAATATGATGATTCAAATAAGGTCTCCAGGAGAGCCTTTTCTGTCCTGTTTTAGTTTTGATTTTACAATATTGGGGTGCCTGGATGGCTCAGTTGGTTGAGCATCCCACTCTTGATTTCAGCTCAGGTCATGATCTCGTGGTTTGTGGGTTCAGTCCCCGTATTGGGTTCCATGCTGACAGTGCAGAGCCTGCTTGGTATTCTCTCTCTCCCTCTCTCTCCCTCTCCCTCTCTCTGCCTCTTCCCTGTTTGATCTCTCTCTCTCTCTCTCTCTCTCTCTCTCTGTCTCTCTAAATAAATAAACAAGCAAATAAATATTTAAAAAATAAAATAAAATATCATGTAACATTGCAGTATGATGTCCATTTATTTCACTGCTAGAACTTGCTTCTACCAGACGTACCTAAAATGAAAAGTATTATTATTACTATACCAACTTTGCTGCCCATTTCAGTGACCACATTGGCCATTAAATCACTATTAAAGGCTGTGCATCAGCATCTCTTAATCTGGAATATCAACATGAGCATTAATATAAAGAAATCTTCTTCCGTTTGGTATCTCCCGCCTGAAGAAGACATTCAATTCCGAACTCCTCAATAAGACTAGTCCTTCCCTCACAAATTTTCAATGCTTTGGTGACATGAATGTAAGAATGCCCTCTGAAGACCTCCCAAGAGATGTTACTAAAGATAAAACCATTACAACATCCATATATCTTTTAGACTTGGGATTTATTTAAGAACATTATATCAAGGCAGTCACAGCTCTCCAATGGTGTCATTTAAAATAGACACTATTTAGTTTAGGTTTTGGTTATCCATCCAAGCACCATAAGTCAACTAACACATTAAATCCAGAATCTCTACTACATGTGCCTATTTTGCTAAAGTCAGCCCACTTTAAATGAATTTTCCTTCTTGACTTTAAGAATTAATTTCTATACATATTGCTCCATATTTTCCCTGATAAAAGTATCAAAACCTTCCTCTTCTTTTGGTGCAAATGCTTTCTCCTCTAAGTTTCTCCTCCAGTGATTTTGGACTCATTCCCTTCAGGAATTTTTAAATCAGAATCTAATAATACTTTTGGAAATAACAGTAGCTAATAAAATGGGTGTCATGAAGAATAGTGATTGTTTCAGATGAAGAAAGTAAAGGCTCTTAAAAGAAAAAGAGTATAGTCCCCTTACACAGAAGAAAAGGAAATAGTAAGGAAATAGTAAAAAAGGACCAATAATATCTGGGCATTCAATGTGTCAGATTCATCTAAATCCTCTCAAATGTCTCTAATATAATCTTCAGGATATTGCTATTTCTTAATCAACAAAAGACCTTGAAAGGATCTGGATTCAACTTGTTTGTACTTCTGTCTCCAGAATCAAATTTTGGATCTGGTTTCAGAAATATTGGCTTTTTATTATAAGAGACAAAAAATATTTTTGGAGATATCATAGAAACATGTTCTTTAACTGTGCCATAACCTGATTATTTGAAGGTCTGAACTTGTCATTTTATGTTGTTGTTAATTCTCCTGTGCAGTCGGAAGAATTTAGTGTATATGTAGTCATCATTCCTATCACAGAAATATAGCGCAGCAGTTATTTAAAGATTTAAATCATTGTCTTCCCAAGGCAATTTATTCCAGGCTGCTACCAACTAATGTAATATTTTCTGTGGCATTCCAGGGACTACCAGTATCCCATATTCCACTAGAAAGGATAGATTATTATTACATTAAGATCCAAATCATATATCATAAAAACATTAAACATACACACATATAAAACTATATGTATGTGTGTAAAATTACATATTTCTTACTTCAAGGGATACCAATGTTTCTAACTGCTTTTGATATTTCAACCCTAATTCAATTATATATATGGCTTCCAAGGATCATAGTAAGTACAAATTAAAACTATCTAATTTCACAAGTGAAGGTATTTTTCTCACTTGTTGATTATTTTTACAAGGATACATTTGTTTTCAGGGCACTGGTGACAAACAAGTGCAAAAAAAAAAAAGAAGAGGAGGAGACTTACTGTAAACAAGCTTCAGGAGAAGTGTGATCTAGAGAAATTGTGAGAGTTTTGGAAAAAGAAATTCTTAGACTTTTACTGTGATGTTTTACTAGTAATGAGATCTTAATACCAATTTACTAATTTGATGTGTTAGTATTATTTAGTTCAACTTCCTAAAAGAGAAATCCGTATTGGTTGTTGAATGGAAATTAAATAATTTCCCTTGTATCAAATGGTCACATTTGAAACAACAAGCTATGGTTATAGGAAAAGAGGATCATGAGGTATGACGTGCACATATGTTTCAATTCCAAGAGTAGAATATGGACTGAAGCAGGTAAAATATATTTTACATTTTTCTTTCTTTCTTTCTTTTCTTTCTTTCTTTCTTTCTTTCTTTCTTTCTTTCTTTCTTTCTTTCTTTCTTTCTTTCTTTTCTTTCTTTCTCTCTCTCTCTCTCTTTCTCTCTCTCTCTCTCTCTTTCTTTTTCAGTAGCTAGTTTGTTTAGTACTACCTCAGTTGCTATGGTAGAAAACTAGTATGATGTAGACTGCTATGACAGAAAACTACCATAAGCCAGACTGATCCAGCAATGTAGTTTTGGGCACATGGTCCCACTCAAAACCATGGCAGCAAGTCGGGGCGCCTGGGTGGCTTAGTCGGTTAAGTGTCCGACTTTCACTTAGGTCATGATCTCTTAGTTCATGGGTTCGAGCCCCGCGTTGGGCTCTGTGCTGACTGCCAGCTCAGAGCCTGGAGCCTGTTTCAGTCTGCGACTCCCTCTCTCTCTGACCCTCCCCTCCTCACGCTGTGTCTCTCTCTCTCTCCTAGAAATAAATAAAAACATTTAAAAAAAAAAAAAACATGGCAGCAAGTCAATCTGGAGCTGAAATTACTTTAGGGGACTAGAGTCCTTTTTGAGTAAATAGAGTGATTCCAACATTCTCAAAAATTTCCAGGTGAATTCAGAGGAATGTCAGAGTAAGACAAAACATAATGAATCGTAACTCATTAAAACTTTCCAAAAATTCCAAGAACTCATTCTGCGGCCCCTGGGTGGTTCAGTCAGTTAAGCATCAGACTCTTGATTTAGACTCAAGACATGAATACATGGTTTGTAATATCGAGCCCCATTCAGGGCTCTGTGCTGACAACCCAGCACCTACTTGGGATTCAATCTGTCTGCCTTTCTCTCTTGCCCATCCCAGCTCCTCTCTCTCAAAGTAAATACACATAAAAAATTCCCAGAACTCACTCAATTTACCTTTAAATTTTTTTTTTAGCATTTATTCAGTGTTGAGAGACAGAGAATGAGTGGGGAAGGGGCAGAGAGAGAGGAAGACACAGAATCTGAAACAGGCTGAGCCATCGGCACAGAGCCTGATGTGGGGCTCGAACCCACAAACTGTGAGATCATGACCTGAGCTGAAGTCGGATGCTTAATCAACTGAGCCACCCAGGTGCCCCTCAATTTTCCTTTAAATGCATTACTTAGTGTTCGTTATTATTAGATGTTATACAAGAATGTTATACAAGAATGACTTAAAATAAGTGTGAGTTACCAGATAATACTATAACATAAGTGTGTTTCTGAAATAAACACTGAGATCCATAATACTGAAATTACCTGTGTATAAGGTTGGTCAGACTGACTAAAGACCTATGATGTTGAAATATCCTGTCAGACACACTTACAATATTTCTATTTGCTTCTGTGTGCCCAATAGAGACAGAAAATCTTGATACAGAATTATAACTAAACAAATGTAATTCCCCTACATTCTGAATCTTTATAGCATTTTATGCTTATTTAGAATTCTAATCTATTCTATAGTTATATGCAAATCATTTTTGAATATTTTTTAACCAGGAGGGGAAGAGTATATTTTATTCATAATTATATACTCTATAACACTTTATACAGGTGGGTTTGTACATACTAAGTCCACCAAATAAGTTCCATTTGCACTAAGTGATAAGAAGATACTACATTTTTGGCAAGGAACAGACTTCATTTTGTTTCCTCATAAATGCATAAAGTATCATGCATTCTTAGGAAGAACAATCATTTATTACAGTAAAAATTATGTTACCTCTTATTTTTACCCAAAGAAGTGCAGGTAAACCGATCTTAAGTATTCAGTTCCCATCATCAGCCCTACCATCATTGTAAAATATTCCTTTAACTTAAGAGAAACTCCCATTACAGAACATCAGCCTTGCAAGTTCCTTGAAGTTACTGTAGATGGCAG